TTCAGAGAAAAGGTTTCGGGCGTCGTCTCCGGGGGGAAGGCGGAGGGCAGTGGGCAGGTCAGTGTCGGTCCCCGGCGTGTTTCAGGGCGCGTTGCTTTTTTTGGGTTTGTTTTTTAATCCTCACCGGAGGATGTGTTTTAATGATTTTAGAAATCATTAGGGAAAGAGAGGCAGGGACATCGTGCGTGAGAGAAATATCGATGGGTTGCTCCCCCGTGGGGATCGACCCCGCAACCCAGGTAGGTGCCCTGACCGGGAGTCGAACCCGCCACCTTTCGGTGCCCTGGATGCTCCAGCCACTGGCCACGCGGCCGAGACGCGGGCTTTTCGTTGCTGCTGCTGTTGTCGCTCCCCAAGGGGCGGCGGTCGGTGTTGGGACCATCGAGTGGGGGCCCTCGCCGGGGAGTCCCGTGTTGGGCGATCAGCCGGAAGCTCAGTGTTGGAGGTTCCCAGTGGAAGGGGAGCTCGTGGGGCCGCGTGTCGGGACGAACACTTGGCATGTCTTTGCCGGCGAGTCGCGTTTGGGGTGTCCGTGGCTGGGGGACTGGCTTTGGAGGAGGCCTGTGTTTACTGCTAATCGCATGGGTAAGATGGGGTCTCTGGGCCTCCCGCGTACCTGTTTACTGTCTAGGCCTTACAACATTTGTTTTTCGGATTCATTCCGGCCCAAGTGTTGGCACTTCCATCATCCTAAGTACTCCTTGGGAAAATAACTTGTTAAAATTTAGTACATTCCATTTTTAGGGTTGAGATCAGGTGTGTAGGTACTGATAAAATTTAATATGTGTTTAATCTAGCATCTTATTATAAGAATTTCCCTAGGACAAACTTTGGAAGTTTTCTTCTATTGATTATTTGATTTTAGAGAGAGAGAGGAAGGGGGAGAGAAACATGCATTTGTTGTTCCACTTATTTATGCATTCACTGGTTGATTCTTTTTCTTTTTTTAAACATATCTTTATTGATTTCAGAGAGAGGAAAAGAGGGGGAAAGAGAGAGAAACATCAATGATGAGAGAGTCACCGATCGGCTGCCCAGCCCGCAACCCAGGAATGCGCACCAACGGGGAATCAAACCCCGGTCTCCTGGATCCCAGGTCGATGCTCAACTGCTGAGCCACACCCGGCCAGGCTGTTGGTTGATTCTTGTATGTGCCCTTGCCTGGGATAGAACCTGCAACTTTGGCTTATCAGGACAATGCTTTAACCAACTGAGCTTACCAGGCCAGGGCTCCTAGGTGGTTTTAAGTCACTTTCCAGAGCTACCACTTCTATACATTATCTTTCCTAAAATTGATCTGTGTGAGAACTTGGCAGTGGACAAGACCATGAGCTGGATTTTGTTTCTCATCTCCCCTTTTACATCTGCTCTGTTCCACCTTTACCCAAAAAAAGGGCATCCCTCTTACCCATTCTATATCTTCCCTAGGAGCATGGGCCCCACAATGTAGAAGCTCCAGAGTGTTAAAGGCACAGAGATGTAGAAGCTCCAGGGTGTTAAAGACACTGATGAAATATCAGGGCTTTAATGTTAGAATGAGTCCACAGGTCAAGAGAGAGCTGTGGGCCCAGACACATGTCCTCTTGTAACTGAGTTTGCTCTTGAATCCACAGGTTCTGGTCTACGGGAACAAGACATTTTCAGTGCTAGAAGAAGGAGGTTCCAGCTTTGGGAGACCATCATATCTTACAGCAACCTGACCTGAGACATCTGACTGCAGTTTCCTGGCAGACCCAGAGACACAGAGGACAAAGCACACCTCAGAGTTGCCAGTCCTTTCTTCAGAACTTGAGAAAATGACCATGGCCCAGGTGAGGTTTGTTTTATCTACTTTTCATCTTTTGTTTCCCAGTGGATGTATGGAAACTTCTAATGTCTGATGAAATGGGACAGTATATGTTGATAAAAATCAGGATCTGTCCGAAAATAAGTTTAGGTTATAATCTTAAAATCAGGACAAATTAGGCAGTGTGAGATACGTGCATCATAGGATCCATACAAAGCTCTTAAGGTTGGAACATTGGTAAGTGACTGTGTAAGACCCTGTTGGTTGCCGTAGCTTTGAACTTGTGTCTACTTTTCTTGGCAGCCATAACAACAAGAAAAAAACATGAAAAGTTACATGATTTGCAGCGTCTCTTAGGAGATGGCAAACCAGTTCTTCAGGGGAAGTAAACATTTCATTGCTCTTGGATCTTAAGAAATTTCTTTTGCTAGGTCTTCGGAGAGGTTTTGTAGCAGACAGTGTCCTCAATGTCAGTCCTGTAATAGAGGCATAAGATTTTTTTTTGGCTTTTTCTTATTGTGATCCTTAGAGTAAGCTAAGGGGCCAATGCCAAAGCCGAACTTGATTGAACAGAATTCTTCAAAAGCAATGTGCCTCGACAGTAGAGAATTCTGGAAATCTGACTTTATCCAGGAATAAAGCTTGGCTTATATGATAGAATGAATGAGCTGCCTTGAGTGGTCTTTCATGAAGAAGTCTCTCAACCAGATTTTTGTTGCTGACTTGGCAGGAGACGGCTGAAAGTTCCATTCTTTGAGAACAGCTTAGTGTATAGATACTGACAAAATGCTCCCCTTACACTTTCATAACCCCAGGTTCACACATGAAGTCAGATCCAATTATTCTTGTTTTGGTCTTTGTATTTTTAATCACTCAAATTATACGTGGCTACATTTGCATGCAAGAGATTCAAGCAAACAAGGATTTGCATCAAAAGAGAACATCTTTCACCATTTTCCTGCCCACCCCCCAACTCAAGGGATAACAAATATTAATAGTTTGGGTCTCCAACCAGTTTCTTTCTGTAATTGACATGTGGTAAAATATATCTATGTATTTTTATACATTTTTATATGCATAACTGTGTATTTGTACATATATAATGTATATACTATTAAGAGTTAAAAAAATACCTGGGATCATATTACATATACTATTTGTGGGTTTGATTGTTTTTTAAAAATATATCTTTATTGATCTCAGAGAGAGGAAAGGAGAGGGAGAGAGAGAGAGAGAAATATCAATGATGAGAGAGTCATTGATCGGCTGCCTCCTGCACTCCCCCTGCTGGGGATCGAGCCCGCAACCCGGGCATGTGCCCTGACTGGGAATCGAACCTCGATTGCCTGGATCCTAGGTCGAGCCACGCCTGGCCGGGTTGATTTTTTTATTTTTTAAATTTTTAAATTTTATTTTTTTAATCCTCAATCAAGGACAACTGTGAAAAATAAATTTCTGTTTTTGAAAGCTACCCAGTCGGTGGTATTTTGTCACAGCAACCTGAGTGGACTAGGACACATGGTCCTGTGGTATGTGAAAGACTCACCATATGTAGAATGTCATGGGGAAAGTGATAAGAACGTGTTTCTGTCCCTCTTTCCACATCACCTCTGATTGCATTGAAATGTGTTATCACAGGAATTGTTATCATTCAAGGACGTGGCTGTGGGCTTCACACGGGAGGAGTGGCAGCTATTGGATCCATCTCAGAAGGACCTGTACAGGGACGTAATGTCAGAGAACTACAACAACCTATTGTCCATAGGTAAGGCCAGCATCACAATCAGTTGCCTTTTCTTTCTCATTCAGTGAAACCTGTAGGGTTCCTGAAATAATTTAGGGTTTGGACCAAAGACTTTTATTCTCCTGTTTGGTCCTAGAGTATATTGCTCTCCCTTTCCAAGTCAAAGGTATTGACTTTACTGAGGTACAAATGATGTGGCCTCTGAATTACAGTTTTCATAGATTCCCCAAGCTTTATTATTTGGTGCCAAGTGTTCACTGATTTCCCTTTCACAGGATATCAAGTTACCCACCCAGATTCACTCTTCTGGCTGGAGCGAGGAGGACCATGGTGGATAGCAGAGGGGGTAGCCTATAATCCAACCTGTCCAGGTGAGTGAGTGAAAACCATGAAAATGGGGAGAGATGAGACTGAATTTTCAGCCAGTCAGTAAAAAGTTGACACTTTTGAAATATTGGTTAGAGAACTTTTCTCACCCCAACAACCTAATACCTTTCTGCATCTCTGTTCTTTATCAGGGCTTCTCTTCTTTGCCTGCTAATAAAGGTGATTGATGTCTTCCTTTTTCCAATTTTCTGGATCTGATTATAGCCTCTCTCATCTAGGACCTTGGTTGCCTACCTGGGTCCATTCTTCCTAGCATGCGGACGTCTTCATCTCCCCCCCTTTTTTTCCTGCAGCAAGCTCACTTTCTGTTCCCCGCCTTACTTGCTATGAAGTTCCTCTCACTACCCATACAGCTTGCTTTGCACTTAGCACTGCTCTCTACTTGCCCTTTTTTAAAGGGCCATATCCCTCCCTGACTATCCACCTCACCTTAGCTAATCAGAAAATCACACACGCCTCATCTTTCAGGGTACCTCTGTCTACTTACTTACCCTCTGCTTCCCCAGCTTCCCGTTCTGTTTTTTTTAAATCTTCTGCTTGGTTCTCATATAAAATTTTGATTCATTCTCAAGGCCTGAGCCCTCTGTTCTCTGCTGTTACTAATATCTAATCTGCATTCTAATCCCCTGTTTACTGGCAGCCACTGAGGCAGCTGCCCTCCAGCTATTCCCTCTTCTTGGAATGATCTTCATGTAGTTATTTGCGTAATATTGTCCGTTCTTTTTTTAAAGATTTTAAAAAATTTATCTTTAGAGAAAGAGGGAAAGTGAGGGGGAGAGAGAGAGAGAAACATCAATATGAGAGTGATACATTGATCAGCTGCCTCCTGCATGCCCCTTACCAGAGATTGAGCCCTAAACCTTTTGGTGCACAGAATGACACACAACCAACTGAGCCACACCAGCCAGGGCATATTGCTCATTCTTATCCTGTGATGTTGGTTTAACTTTTCTTGTAGATGACTACTTTATGTAAGATCGACCTACCACTACTCTACCACCTCCTTCATATCATTTTCCACATTCTTTAACTATTTTTTCCCCTTACCTGTTGATTGTCTTTCTCTTTTGTTACTAGAATGACAGCTCCATGGAGACACAATATATTAGTCACTTTAAAAGTTGCACTAGCCCTGGCTGGATAGCTCAGTTGGTTAGAGCATGGTCCTGATATGCCAAGGTTGCAGTTTGGTCCCTTTAGGGCACGTACAAGAATACATAAATAAGTGGAACAACAAGTCTGTGTTTCTCTCTCTCTCTCAAATCAGTGTAAAAAAAAAGCACTAAAGTGACTAATGTATTCTAATATTCTAATATAATATTCTAATGTAATCTAATGTAAACACCAGCCCATTCGATGTTTGTTGGACGAGTGGATCCACTCTCTTCATCTTCTTTTGTTCTAGTTCAATCACAGTGTGGCTTTTCTTCTTCTCAGCCCATTTTTCAAGGTACTATTTGGAAAGAAGCCCAAGCAATACTTATTCATTATTCATTGCGAACTACCTATGCTGTTTCTAAGGTAGTTGTTTTTCCTTTTGCTGTTTTATAGTATCTTTTTTCACAGAGCATAGGATACATTTCCATGGGGTACATTTCTCTTAGACTGGGATCTTATAAGAGCTAGTCCAAACCATGACATTTTTATATCTTTTCCCCCCTAAAATTGTCACGTATATTTTTATTGTTCCTTTTCCTAGAAGAAATATGGGAGATTGATCATATGCAGTGGCATCCAGAAAACCAAAATGAGATTAAAACTTTGGAAAGATGTCAACAAAGTTATGTACTTGGAAATAATTTCAATATATGCAAAAGTCTTGTTTCTTTAACAGCAAGACGCAGTAAGTTTGGCTCACAGTGTAAAAATTTGAAGTCACATTTAGGTTTTGTTAACCAGAATAGAAGATATGCAGGAAAGGATTCTGATGAGTTCATTTTCTATGGAAAGTCATCTTTCTACATCCAGCATGATAAAACTACTGGAATTAAATGCCATGGATGTGTTAAACCCAGTAGCACTAAATCACAGCTCAGCGACCATCAAAACACTAATCCAGGAGAGAAACCACTTGAATGCAGTGAGTGCGGGAGAGCCTTCTCCAGGAAAGCACTGCTCATTAGACATCAGAGAACAGAAAGAGGAGAGAAACCCCACAGATGCAATGAATGTGGGAAAACATTCAGGAGGAAGATTCAGCTCACTGAACATCAGAGAACTCACACAGGAGAGAAACCCCATGAATGTAATGAGTGTGGAAAAGCATTTTCCAGAAAGTCACAGCTTGTGGTACATCAGAGAACTCATACAGGAGAGAAACCCTATGGATGCAGTGAATGTGGGAAAGCCTTCAGCCGGAAGTGCCTGCTCAGTAGACATCAGCGGTCTCATACTGGAGAGAAACTCTACGGATGCAGCGTGTGTGGGAAAGCCTTTTCCCAGAAGGCATACCTCATTGCACATCAGAGACTGCACACAGGAGAGAAGCCTTATAAATGCAGTGAATGTGGAAGAACCTTCTTTTTTAAGTCAGACCTGACCAAGCATCAGAGAATTCACACAGGAGAGAAACCTTATGAATGCAGTCAGTGTGTAAAAGCCTTCAGAAGCAAGTCAAAGCTCATTCAGCATCAGCGAACTCATACTGGAGAGAGACCATATGCATGCCATGAATGTGGCAAAGCCTTTGCCCACATGTCAGTCCTCATTAAACATAAGAAAACTCATACAAGAGAGAAAGCTGTAAATTCACTGATGGTAGAGAAAACTTCCTCAGGGAGTCAGAACTCTTTATACACCAGTGAACTCTTAAAGGAGCAAAACCATATGAACACAGTGCCTGTGGAAGTGTCTTCTTCAGGAACTCAACACTTATTAAACATCAGTGAACTTTTAGGGGATAGAAAAGTAGTGATTGTGAAACAGCCTTTTCCCAGAAGTCAAGCCTTAGTAGATAATCAGGAATTTGCACAGGGAATAAGCCTTGCAAATGCAGTGAGTGTGACAACATCTTCAGTAATAAATTATGTATTGTATGTTACAAATGTGTAGAAAAAAGTCCTCTGGTATCAGAAATGTGGAAAAGCCTTTAGCAAGAATTCTGCACATGTTATATGTTAGGGCTCACTTAGGACAGAAAAGCTTTGGGTACATTGGTTGTGGAGAACACTTCTGTGAGAAGCTAGACTTATTCAGTGTCAGTGAAATCATATTGGGCAGAAATGCAGCTATTGTGGGGAAGCCTTTGCCTAGAGGTGATATCACAATTGGTATCAAATAATTCTCACAGGTCCAAAACCTTAGGAAAGAATGTGGTGGTTTTTATTTATTGATTTGAGAGAGAGAGAGAAAAACAAACATCAGTTTGTTGTTCCACTTATTTATTCATTCTTTGGTTGACTCTTGTATATGCCCTGACTGGGGATTGAACCTGCAACCTTGGTGTATCAGGACGATGCTCTAACCAACTGAGCTACCTGGCCAGGTTCTTTCGTGGTTTCAGTGATAAATTGTGTCTCATCACATGTCAGAGAAGCATAGAAAGACAACTCTAGAGACAGTGAATGTGGAAAAAAATTTTAGCAAAATGTGTACACACTCATAGCAATAAAATGTGTACATTTTAACACCAAACTAACTCATGTATCACAATTTTATACATTGAGAATCTGGAAAGACTTCTCTGATAAATGAAATCTTGGGCGCAGGAATTGTGTTATGTAGTGAAAAATCTATGAATGTAATGAAAGTAGAAGTACAACTGTATTAGTTTCTTGTGGCAGCTGTAGCATTGCCACAAATTCTGTGGCTTAAAACAATACAGATTTATTATCTTACAGTTCTGGAGGTCTGCAGTCAAAATGCAACTCACTAGACTAAAGGTAAGGTGCTAGCAGGGCTGCATTTCTTTTTGGAGGCTCTAGGGAAGAGTCTGTCTTTTTGCTCTTCCAGCTCCTAGAAGCTGCCCCAATTCTGTGGTCTGCAACCGCCTTCCATCCTCAAAGCCAGCCAGGACTGTTCAGTTCTTTGATGACTCTAATACTGATTCTTCTGCCTCCTTCTTCCATATTGAAGGATCCTTATGATCATATTGGGCCCACCCAGATAATCCAGGATAATGTCCCTATCTTAAGATCAGTTAATTAGCAACCGTAGCTCATCTGCTACTTTGATTCCTTTGCCTTAGAACTTAACATTCACCAGTTCTGGCAATTAGGATGTAGACCCTCTGGCACCCAGTGATTCATGTCTATCCCACATGCAAAATGCATCCACCCTATCTTAACATCTCCAAGTGTCTTAATCTACCACAGCACCAAGTCAAAATCCAGGACCTCATCTAAATCTTACCAGCTTAGATAGAAATGCCTAACATTTGGAGAATCACAGTGGAACATCAGGAGTGTATTGGTTCAGTGGGTGGTTCTAGTTGGATCTATACTAAAGACTGCTAGAAACCCTGTCAACAAAGCATAAATGCAAGCCACTAAAGGACTTGTTTCCAAATGTTTTACCTGCTTCCCAGAACAAAGCCAATAGTTGTTTCTTTCTAAATAGTTTACACTTAGAAATTTCAAAGTTATACACAAATTTCTTGCCCATTCTTTTTGCAGATTGTCCTAAGTGAAAATATTTTACCACCTATCTTTTATCATATTATTTCTGTCATCACACACACACTCAAATGTACATATTGTTTTTCAGAACTCTTTACCCCTAAATACTTAAGTGTGTATTTCCTAGAAACAAGGTCATTTTTTTACATAACTAAAATAGTTATCAAAATCAGAATATTAACACTGATATAGAACTATAACCCAATCTACAGAGCTTATTCAAATGTTACTAATTATCTCACTAATATTTTTTATATTAAAAGTTATTTTTCTGAACCTCTTCTTGATATCTAGTGGATTCTGTTGAGGGCACACTGGCTTTCATCCAGAAGTCAGAGCTCACTGATTATGACTCAACTCCATTAGAGAAGAAACTATGTGGGTGCAATGAATGTGCAGTGAATACTTATAAGCCACTATGACCATGCCTCAGAGAACTCATCCAGGAAAGAAATCCCATGAATGCCATGATTGTAGGAGAGCCCTTCCCAGTAAGTTGAAGCTAGTTACTCAACAGGAACCTTACACAAGGGAGAGATCAGGTGTATGCAATCAATGTCAAAAAGCTTGCATTACAAAGTGCTCATCTATCATCAGAAAACCCATCATAGAGAAGGCAAATCCTATGCATGCAATAAATGTGGGAAAGCTTTTCCTTGGAAGTCAAAACTCACTTTACATCAGAGAACTCATTCAGGAGAGGGACCTTTCAGAGGCAGAGTCTGTGATAAAGCCTTCATGATTAGGACACGTCTCAGTGTACATCAGAGAGTTCACACAGGAGAGGGACCATATGGCTGCAGTGAATGCCCACAAGCTTTCATCCAAAAGTCAGCTCTCACTAATCATAAGAAAACTCATCACGCAATAGGAAAGTCCCATGAATGCAGTGAGTATGGGCGGGTTTTGTCCTCTAAGTCAGCTCTCATTGTACATCAGAGAACCCACTCAGGTGAGAAACCCTTCAAATGCGGTGCATGTGATAAAGCTTTCACGGCTAAACCCTATCTTACCGTACACCAGAGAATTCATACAGGAGAGAAACCATATGAACGCTGTGATTGTAAGAAAGCACTTGCTACTTTGTCAACTCTCATCAGTCACCAGAGAACTCACACAGGAGAGAGGCCCTGTGGATGCGATGAATGTCAAAAAGCTTTCTTTCGGAAGTCAGCTCTTATTAATCATCAGCAAACTCAGCACAGAGGAAACCCCTCTATGCAATGACTGGGGGAATGTGAGACTCATGCAGAATAGAAATGCCATAAATGCTGTGTTTATAACAGACCCTGCTGGAAATCCTGTAGGAAAGAAACCTTAGAGATGAAACGAAAGTTGGAAGTCTTCCATTTGAAGACATCCTCATATTATACCCTAGGGATCTTACCAAAAGAGAAACATCATAAATACAGTGATTGTCAAAATGTTTCATGTGAAAGCCAGAGGCTATGCATTTAGCAGCCAGCACCTATGAATGCAGTGAGATTGGTGGTTACCAGGGCCGGGAGGAAGGGAGAATGGATACTGACGGATTCATGGGTCTCTGGTTTTCTTTTAGAATGTTTTGGATCTGGATAGAGGCGGTGTTTCTATAACGTTTGTGAATGTGGTAACTTTCACTGAACTGCATACTTTGAAATGGTTGATTTGACATTGTGTGAATTTTACATCAATAAAAATACTTTTAAAAAGAATAACACTGCAAGAACCCTGGCACTGAAAATGCAGATAAACATCAACGATTTATGAAAATAATGCTTAGCAAAACAGGTGTAAATATTTTCTTTGACTTAATAGATATAGCTACCAAAATGTTCCAGCTGACATCATTTTTGTTGTTGTTAAGCAAAAATATCCTCACCTGAGGATATTTTTTCCATTGATTTTTTTTTTAGAGAGGGTAGAAGGGAGGGAAAGGGGGGAAGAGACAGACAGGGATCAAGCCTGCAGTCCAGGTACGTGCTCTTGACCTGGAATCAAACCTGTGACCCTTCAGTGCACGGGCCAGTGCCGTAGCCACTGAGCAGCACCAGCCAGGGCCCAGCTGACATCATATTTAGTGTGGCTTGGTTGGCTGAGCACTGCCTACAGAATGCACCGAGAGGCTGCTGGTTCGATTCCCAGTCAGGGCACATGCCAGGGTTGCAGGCTCGATCCCAGTCGGGGGCGTGCAGGAGGCAGCCGATGGATGTTTCTCCCTGTTCCTTCCTCATTCTCTAAAATCAGTAAAAGCATTTTTAAAAAAGCTGTTCGTTCCTGAGGCACTCCTACCCTGGGAGACCTGCTGCAAGTAGAAATAAAGCATTTTAAAGAACATAAAAATACACAGAATACAAGAAGAAACATCTAGGAAAATCTATGGTCAGTCCTGGGCTGTGGAAGCAAAGAGGGGAGATGGAACTAAACGAATCGAATCGCATCATTACTCAGGAGGACTCAGGAACTGGGGCCGCGCTGCTTTCAGTGATGGTAAGTGGAGCCGCTTTTGTTGAGCATGCTGTGGTGGCCCCAGGGCAGTGAGCTCGGAAGGCAAGGTTGGGAATGGCCTGGGAGGTGGGCAGGCATGCCCAGGGCTCCTAGAGGAATGTGAGGGTAACACTGTGTGGGAGCCTTCCCAGTATCTTGGTGACCCCCTGCCTCAAGCTGAGCTCGTGCCCTTAACAACGAAACATCCGGACTCTGTGCCAGGCATGAATGTGACAGGTCTTATCCCCGTGCCCCCGCGTGGGAGCAGGACCTGGAGATGGGGATCCACTTTGCAGAGCCTCGCGGGACTGTCCAGGCGGAGCTGGGAACACGCTGTCTCTCCCAGGCCCCCGGGACACAGAATTCACTGAAGAGCAAAAGTTTTTCAGGGAAGTTTTTCTCTCAGCTGTGCCGGCTGTTAATTAGCTCACGTCTTAATAACCCCCAGGAACTGCTGGTGCTAATTTGTCTGGGGACTGACATTTACAGCTTCTTCGCAGATGCACCACTGTCCCTTTGCAGAAGGCGTCAGTGCCTTGCAGGTGACGGGGTAATTGCAGTTCTCGGGGGAGATGAGCTCAGGGGACCCCAGGACACATAACTGCGGCTTTTCACAGCACTTTTATACGGATGGCCACAGTCCTGCTGCCAGATCCGGTGACAGGGACCAACCCCGGTGAGTGCTTCATTGTGGCTCAGACTCGGATACGGTTTGGGAGCGTGTCCAAGAGAGAGGGCAGCTGAGGAACTGGCCGGGACAGACGTTTTCTCCTGAGTCCTTGGACAGCTGCGCCTCGGCCCGGGCCCTCTTTCTGGGCTGAAACCCGAGTCACATTAGGGGCTCCACAGCAGGCAGGGGGGAGGCCAGCCTGAGGGAAAGGGTTGCTCTTCTCTTTAAGAGTGGGCATTCGGGTTTCTTTTCTTTTTTAAACAGTATATCTACTTTTATTTATTTAATGTTTTTATTAATTTGAGAGAGAGAAGGAGAGAAACATCAGTGATGAGCGAGCCATTGGTTGGCCGGTCCCTTCTGCCCGCACTGGGGATCGAGCCCGCAGCCCAGGCATGTGCCCCGACCGAGAATCTAGCCGTGAGCTCCTGGCTCGTGGGTCAGCAACCACTGAGCCATGCTGGCCGGGCAGGATGAGGCTTTCTATTGGCCCAACCCATTGAGAACTGGACTCGGAGCACTTGATCAGTGTGATGTCTAGCTGCCCCTGTTCTCTGCGCGCCCATGGTTGTCCTCACGGGTTTCAGAACTTGGGTGGAGCTGGAGAAGCAGACCCTGGTGGGCTTATCACGTTGCGTGCTTTCTTTTTTCATTGAAAGGCACCATTTAAAAGCAATACTTAGTTAAGAGTCCAGCCTGTGGAGCCAGGAGCAGCCTTTTTCAATCCTTAACTCTGCCTCCTACAAGCCGGGGGATGGGACCTCCTGACAGTGGGTCTCAGCTTCCCAACCCGTGAGCCAGCCATAGGAGAACAGAGTCACTCTGAATCCTAGATAGAGGGACTGACTATTAGAGAGGGTGACACTGCCAGCACCCAAGTTTCTAGCATACGGTAGTCATGACGGTCTCTTCTGCCTGATTCTAGAGCCCCGACTTTGCAGCCAGGTAGACATGCAGCTGGCAGCAACTGTCATCAAATTCACCCCATCTCGGTGTGACCAGTGCCTGGTGCAGGGCCAGAGCCTCAGTGCATTTTCACTGTTCACATCCTTATGTTCCTGGTCGCACAAAGCACAGGTTATATAGTCCACGTTGCTTTGTGAGCACAGGTTGTAGGGCACATTTCACTGAGCCTGGAGCAGGGCTGGAATTGGGTGGGAGGTGGTATAGCAGACCCACATAGCGCCTTTCCAGCTCGCCCAGCCCGGATTTGATCCATGACCCGATTGTGTGATTCTCTCTCACATTTTGGAGTCTCTAACCCTGCACTGCCTCAGTGCTGTGGAAAAGGAAGGTGGGCCTGTTGAGTAAGGTCAGTGTGAGAGGTTTGTGTGTGTGTTTTGCAGGAGCTAAGCAATGCTGTCTTTCTCACAGGAGCCAACATTGTTACTCTACAGAAAATCTCCTCCTGACAGACAAGCAGATGGGTCTTGTTACAATTTGTGCTGAAGGGGAAACATGAGAAGGAAGACATGAGTGGATCACAAAATGCAGAGGTATGGTAGGTAATAAAACTAATTTGCAGGTAGATCTAACTAGCCCCAGATTCTAGCCAGATGTTTGACTTCGCTTCTCCAGGCTCAGTTGCTTTCTTTTCTTTCTTTTTTTAAATGTTTTTTAAAAATTTATTTCAGAGACAGGAAGGGAGAGGGAGAGAGAGAGAAACATCAATGGTGAGAGAGTCATTGATCGGCTGCCTCCTGCATGCCCCCTACTGGGGATTGAGCCCAAACCCCCGGCATGTGCCCTGACCAGGAATCAAACCACAATCTCTTGGATCATAGGTTGATGCTCAACCGCTGAGCCACGCTGGCCAGACTATGGTGACATTTCTTAATAAAATCTCTGTCCTTGCATGCCTGGGATATGTCTCACATGGCCGTGTATACAATTTTCTTAATGCCATGTTTCCAGTATGATTTTATTCTTGGCCCCTGTTTTATAAGGAAGAATGCTTTCAATTTCTAAACACAAGCAGCATGCTTAATCTTGTATTTATTACTCATTGCCAAAACAACCCTATATTTATTACTGATTACTAACACACATACATTTTGTAAGAATAGGAAGGATATTGTGGAGGACTGCACACCTGAGATGAAAGGTTATTTCAGGGAACAGAGGAGTAAGACTAGAAATGAGAGGTAGGGGATACAGAATAACTCTTTTCTCCATAGATGGTTGTATTATTTTATTCCTGTGGTATACATGTTAATCTCATAATTTAGAAGAACAATTTAGTAACTTAAAATAAAAATGAAAATTTCTATATATCACCACTAAGTGCTAGAATCCCAAGTACATGTTTCCATGATACCATTTATATCCTTTGTACATGACATGATTTATATTTTATTCATATTAGGTTTTATATATGTATCTCCCATACCAGGCTCTGAGTCCTTAGGAACAAGGATCCAGGTCAATTAATCTTCGTGTATCTGAGGACTGACAACCTGTTGTGGCGTACAGATGTTTAAGAACACTCTTTGAAGTTAAAGATAAGGCTTTACCTTGGAGACTGTGTCCTGAATGCGCACACTAAAGGATTTGGGACACAGAGTAAGTAACGGACCATTTTGCATGGCTGTGTGAGCATACACAGAAATGAGACTGGAGGACTACTCTGAGTGGTAATTTTATGCTCACTGATGTGGAGTCCCCTCCCAAGAAAATTAATTTTTTCTCAGAAAGGGGAGTTCTGAGGGCCTGAGTCCCTATCAGAATTGGGAATATTGGAGCAAATCCAGGACTAATCCTGCCACACTGAGTTTTGACTGTGACCTTCAGGCTTTTTTTCTGAACTGCTTTTTTCCTGTAATCCTCTGAGAATGACTTTTGGTGACTTGGTCCTGAAGCTAATTTTCCTGGTGCAGACTGGGATCGGGGTCCTGGGGAATGCCTTTCTTCTCTTGACCTATGCTTCCACATTCTGCCCTGGCCGTGCACTCAGGCCCGTAAACTTGATTTTCACCAACATGGTTGTGGCCAACTTCTTGGTTCTTCTCGTCAAGGGGATCCCCCAGATACTATATATCTGGGGAGTGACACACATCCTGGACAACACTGGGTGTAAACTTGTCTTTTATATCCACAGAGTGGCCCGAGGCCTTTCTCTCTGCACCACTTGCCTCTTGAGCACTTTTCAGGCAATCACCATCAGCTCCAGAACTGCTGGGTGGATGGGGCTCAAAGACAGAGCTCTGAGGAGCACTGGTTCTTCCTGCTTTCTGTGTTGGATCTCCAACCTGTTGATAAACATCTTCATTCCTACAAATTTAGAGGCTCCTTGGCGGAGTCACAATTATAGCAATATACAAAGTCATGGACTGTGCTTTTCTGAAATTCCTTCACCTGTTACTATTACAAGACACATAATTGTAATGACTGTATCAGATGCTGTGTTCATGGGACTTATGATTGGGACCAGCGTTTACATGGTACTTCTTCTCTGTAGACATCACCAGAGAGTGAGGCATGTTCACACCCTCAGAAATGCCCACAGACTTTCCCCTGAGTCAAAAGCCACCCAAACCATCCTGCTTCTAGCAAGCACCTTCATTTTGTTTTACCTCACCAATTCTATTGTTACATTTTATAATGTCTTTTTCACATCTCACACCTGGCTTCCGTACGCTTCCTCCTTTCTGACAGCATGTTATCCTACACTGAACCCCCTGATATTGCTGCTTCGATATTCCCAAACATCAAGATTCTGCTCTTAAATGGTGAAAAGATCATCCCGAGTTACTAGTGGTCCCATTCATGAGCTTCTCTTCTCTTCTAAGAGTCTAGTTATTCACTGATTCAAACAAGGATATATCTTGTGTACAGAACACAAGACATATGACCGAAATACCGATGTTTGTATGACACTGACTTAAACGTGTAGAGGCTTTCAGAAGGCAGACAATCAAATAAACACAATGCTACATAAGTGTTATAATTATTTTGATGCTTTGTGATTTTTTTTCTTTGAAATATTTGATGGAAGCATGGAATGAAGCTGGACAGAAATAATTTCGGGACACATCAGAATTTTTTTTAATCCCCACTTGAGGATATTTTTTCCATTGCTTTTCAGAGAGAGTGGAAGGGGGGAGGGCAGAAAGAGAGAGAGAGAGAAACATCAATGTGAGAGAGACGCATCAATTGGTTGCCTCAATCACGCACCCCGACCAAGGCCGGGGATTGAACCTGCAAGCGAGGTACATGCCCTTGGCTGGAATCGAACTTGGGACCCTTCAGTCCATGGGCTGAAGCTCTAGCCACTAAGCCAAACGGGCTAGGGTCACATCAGAATTTGTAATGGCTTATTAGGGTAATTATTAAATTGGATGCAGTATTGTATATAAGTAAACAGTAATGGCTTTGTGTGCCAATAACAACTATAACTCATGGGAAGCAGTTTAATTACTGTTGACTTAGGGTATTTACTTGTAAAATTAATAGATTGTCTCCTATTAGATTATTGTGTGAAAGTAAACGAGAGAATAAGGTAGGACTTCCAAAATAGCATATTGAGTGCCTCTGTAAATCTGCTCTTCCATAAAAGCAACATAAATACTGGCAAAATTTTCAAAGTCAACTTTTTTTACACCTCCAGAAAGTAACCAAAAGCTTATAACACTCTGAAGAGCATTTAGTCATGAAAAAGTAAAAACTGTGGAGGATATATAGTTTTCACTATTTACTCCCATCCCTCTCTCCTTAGCTCTGCACTCTCCATGGAAAAATGGCAGCCTTACAACTACAGTAGCCACAAAAACCATTTGTCAAAAACTATCAGTTTTAATTTTTTAACCTTGCAGTAGCCTAAAGCTATAGCATGAACTGGTGAAAATACTAGGCCAGCCAAAAATTTTAAAAGGAATATCTGAAGAGCAAGATGTTCACAAGGAGCTATTAAACACGCTGACATATTCCTAAGGATCTAGAAGGCCACACACATACACAGGGATTTGTACCTGCTCAGGAAATACCTGAAGGGCATCAATAATTCGCCTTTTGGTGAAATCCTTCTTCAGGAACAGACGGCTAAAGCAGATTTGTAAAGCACCTGATCATTGAAGTAGGGCCTCAACACATACACAACATAACCCTTGGCAAAGGGTAGAAGACTTACCGACTCAAGGTGACTAAGACAATTTCTGATCAACTAACCAAGAAGAGTTGTCAGTGACCACACATTACAGGAAAACAAAATGTAAAGAATTAGTCCAGGAATGTTACTAACTGCAATAACACAAGAGCAATAGCAACAAACCCTGAGGAGAGGGGGAATCTGATACCCAACACAGTAACATTATAATGTCTGAAATATCTAGCCCCAACAAAAATTTGTGATACATACAGAATCAGAAAAGTTTGGCTCATAGGAAAAAAAGCGGTTCATAGAAACTGTCCTTTAGGGGTCATGTATGTCAGGCTTACTACACAAATACTTTAAATCAGCTATTATGAATATGTTCAAGGAACTAAAATAAGTTATCTTTAAGGAAATAAAAGAAAGTATGATGTTTCACCAAAGGAACTTGTTGCAGGTGTCAACCTTATTACATTCATTGCCTGGTTGGTACCCTCTGAGCTTGTTTGTGGGGATTTTTGAGGCAGTGGGAAAATATAAGGTTTTAAAAATGTACAATACAATGAAACAAAAACTATTAGAATTAATAAGTTTATCCAGTGTGCTTGGTATCCTATCAATATATAAGTCAACTGGTTTTCAACCACCAACAAAGAGTGAAACAATGAAATTATAAAATACCAATTACAAGCACATTGAAAATATCAAGTATAATGAAATGAATCTAATAAAAATTTACTAGATTTTTTATGAGAAACATCAACTTTATTCAGAGACATTAAAGAAGATCTAAATAACTGGAGCGATACACAGTGTTCATGGATTTTAAGACTTCATATTGTAAAGCTGTCGTTATGCAAAATGACTTATAGATTCAGTGCATCCTATTAACAAATTCCAGCCACTTTTTTTTCCCTGGCAGAAGCTGGCAAGGTAAGTTAAAATTTATTCGCAAATATAAAGGGCGAAAAGAACCAAGATACTCTTGTATTAAAAGAATATGGTCAAGGTCTTGCTTTGTTGGCCTAGAAATAAAGAACAGATCAATTAAGCAGAACATTTTAGATCAGAGCCAGAGAGAGATGGACAGCTGACTTACAACAGAGATGCCACTACCAAGCGGTCGATAAGAGCCTGACATTCAATTATTCTGATGGGATAATTATGCCCAGGGAAAAAGCTGACCTCTCCTTAACAATAGTCACAGAAACAAGTGCCTGGGCGGGTTGTGACTCTTCAGGATACACAGAATCTTTAATTTTATGTATCTCAGTTTATCTTGTAACACAAGACGCAGGTAATCTTTTCTCATCGTGCACTGAGGTTACCATAATTCTTGCCGCCGCCCCCTTAAACCCTGTCTCTCAAAACGAAGCACACATGCACACGCGCTCCTCCTACCACCTCTGCTCCACACCCAGTTCTAGTCTCCTAATCCTCATTTTTTCCCCAACGGGTTACCGGTATTTTCCCTGGAAACGTTTCCCAACTCTGCTCCCAGCCCTTCCGTTATTGTACGGACCCGAACGTTTCCAATATGGCCGCGTCCGTCCTGCAGTTTTCAAAAGCGCTAGGAGACAGCGTGGGCGCGGCCATTTTCTGCCGAGGCCTGAGCTGTGATTGGTTTACCTCTCTGGTCCGGTCAAAAGACTTCGGCCGAAGAGTAGTGAAATGCTTATTAAGCATGCGCGCCGGTGTGCAAGTAGAAGAACCGAAGGAGAGAGGTCTTGGAAGTGAAGAGAAAGTATCGGTTGAGCCTGTTCTTTTTCGGCCCGGTCGGTCGGCGGAATCCGGTCGCCTGGATTGGCTATCTGGCTCTCCGTACGGAGCTCAATCCAAGATGGCGGCGCCCTACTGATGATAGCTGCTCTCCACCTAGCTTAATGCAACGGTGCGCCGCCATCTTGCCCAGAGTGCATTTCCCACCGGGACCGCGGTCGACCCTGGTAGGTAGGTCGCTTGCTTCCAGAGTTCTACAGAGTCTGCGTAATAATAGGACGGAGCGCGGACCGGCCGAGCGGGGGAAGGGAAGCGGAAGTGGCGTGTGGAGCTCGGCTTCCCCAGGTGAGGTCGCTGTTCCCGCTTGAAGTCGCGGAGGATTTCCGCGGGCGTCTGGGCAAGCCCGCGCCGCAGGAACTCCGCGACGTGCGATGGGGCTGGTGGCGGGCATTCGG